GTTCACTTTTCCCTCTGTTTTACAGTCTGTCTATTCAGCAGTTTGCAGTCTTGGTCCCCAAAATAACCTGTTCCTGATGACTTCACCAATATCGATGAGAATGTGGATGCACAAATCTGGGGAAGAGACAGTCCTGTACCTTCTCACTAGAGATCTCCCCGATCGTAGCAATTGCTTCTTTTCAAAACACTTCATCCAATTAGGCATCCTTCTTTGCCAGAATCATCTCTAAGCACTGCCGAGTCCAAGGTTTTGATCGGAACACATGGAAAGATGGGAGTGGCTATCACCTGAGATGAAGAAAACATTTCCCAGCTCTCGGAGTGTCCTGGTGGCTTCTCTACGGCTTCTGCGGCCCGAACAAGGGACAGCACCACACAGGTCGCTGCCGAGCCGCTTGAGGCCTCTGGTGGCAACGAAGTGAAACCCAGTATCGCTTTTTTTTTTCTTATGGCAGGGACCATAGTATTGTTCTGGAGGTGTTGAGTGAAGGCAATAACAAATTTTGAGATTGATTGTGACATTTTTCAAGGAGCCTGTTTTAGGTGAATGTTTTGCATGGTTTCCAGAAAAGTGGAGGCGTCTCTCTTCTAGCAAGGAGAAGCAGTTTGCTTCTGTCAGTTTATAAGGTTCAGAGAAATCTGGATGTTCATGCTGTTGAAGTATAACTGTACACATATCTAGCTATCTCAGGTCTCATTATCTGACTTCTTCTATACCAGGCCCCTGGTTTTAGCATAAAAGTCTATTGAACCTGTGAATTTTCTCTTCTTTACAACTCTATGACTAAGTCTTGGGTCTGATTTTTCTACAGCCTTGCCTAGGGCTGCAGAAAATGAGAATCTCTTTAAACACTGCCATTGAAGTATTCTTGCTTTCACAGCAAGCATTCCTTAAGTTAGTGATTCTCAAAGTGTAATTCCTGGATCTGCATCATCATCAACATCATCTGAGATCTTGTTAAAAATTCTAACTCTTGGACCTTATCCAAGACCTACAGAATCAGAAACTCTGTTTGTGGGGCCCAGAAATCTATACTTTAACAAGCAGTTTGAGAACCAATGCCCTTGGTCAATAGTTGGATGACATGAGTGTACTATTCTTTCTCTCCAAGACTTCCAAAAAGAAAGAAAGACTTCCAAAGAGAGTCAGTCAACTTGTCAATAATCTAATTACCTATACCCCCCATAGCCTCCAAGGGCCAGATGACTGTGTAACCCAATGCTTCTTCTTCCAATTGTTCCTCATCCCAAGGCGCAACAGATAAGACTATTAATAATAATAATATTGGAGTATGCCAATAGTTAATAGCATTTTATTTGCCCCAACAATGGAAGGTGTGTTGCAATCTGACTGGTGAGTGATTCATTTCCTGAATACTATTTTAAAGATATGATTTCTAGGTCCACTTTCAGAACCAACTCTCTTAATTTAGATCCCCTGAAAGCAGCTTGGGATAAGGTATTAGGTATCGATAACTGATATGGGAGATGATTTAATGAAGAATGAATGAGGAACCAAGAAAAATGAAACATAAGAAAAGCAATATGTGGATGTATTCTTCAGATTGAGTGTAATGGGAGCTCAATTCTCTCAGGATCTCCCGAAAAAGCATACTGGATGTTTTCACCCGAAAGAAGAGTCATTGGAGCATTTATCCAGTAGTTACCATCCTCCACTGTTTGAGAGTTCCCCCTAGGGTTATTAAGTCCCTTGCATTTCTTGGCAGCACTTTTCTATGTGCCAAATGGGTTCCCATGGTATCAGACAAAGCCTTGGGGCAGAGAGAAAAGATGTTTACAACTACTTGAAGTAGGTCACTCTAAATATGTGTGAGATGAATCTGAGTTCACGTAGAACTTTTCATTGCAGCTCTTCTGGAATCAGAGTTGGACTGAGGAGAGGCGATACACTGGCACTAGAGACATCTACCTTAGAAGGTGAGATGGAAATGTTGTATTCTGCATTTGCAACTCAGGAATCAAGGTGTACTGGCTTTTGGCATGAATTCCCCCAGATAGTGTTCTGAGAAGCAGAAGAGGTCAGCTAAAAGAATATCACAAGGACAATTATATTTTCAGGAACAAGGCAATCTTAACAGAAGCAGACATGAAGATAATTCTTACATTTTGCATAGTGAAAACCATCTAGGCTAAGACTTAGTTCCCTAACCAAGAAACTTTTACAAGTTTCTTTTACAAGATCCAGGGAAAAAATACATTTCCTCCAATGATTAGCAAACACAGCTAATATTTAGCAAATAAATTTTCACTAGTACATATTTTAATATGTTTTATATAAAATTTATAAGGAAGAGTTCTAATCAGATACAAAATGTGAGGAAGATGTAAAAGAAAAAGAAAGAAGAGAAAGCGATGAATATGAAAATTTAGGCATTTTATAAAATCTTGTATTTTTCCCCCAAAATACAACAGGTGAAAATCTGATTCTTGAATAGGAAGGAATCAAACAAGTCATATACTGCCTTTCCTCTTGTTGCCTTGTCACCAGATACTCTGGAATCCTACCCCCAAAGAAGCAATTGTTCCAGAAGCTATGATCACAATTTGCAATGACAGCCACAGTGATTTCATCCTCCTGGGCTTCTCTAACAAGCCGCATTTGGAGAAGACACTTTTTTGGGTCATTCTGATTTTTTATTTTTTGACTCTTGCAGGAAACATGGTCATAGTTCTTGTCTCCTTGAAGGATCCAAAACTCCACATTCCCATGTATTTCTTTCTTTCCAATCTTTCCTTGTTAGATCTCTGTTTCACCAGCAGCTGTGTTCCACAGATATTGATTAATTTCTGGGGCCCAGAAAAGACCATCAGCTACACTGGCTGTGCCATTCAACTCTATGTCTTCTTGTGGCTTGGGGCTACTGAGTGTGTACTTCTTGTCATCATGGCTGTGGACCGCTATGTAGCAGTGTGTCATCCACTACAATATACCACTATCATGCACCCAAAACTTTGTCTACATCTAGCTATCCTGGCATGGGGGACTGGTCTGGTTCAGTCTCTGATTCAGTCCCCTGCCACCCTCCAGCTACCCTTCTGCTCCCACCGGATGGTGGATGACATTGTTTGTGAAGTCCCGGCCCTGATTCAGCTCTCCAGTACTGACACTACCTCCAATGACATCCAGATGTCCATAGCCAGTGTTATTCTCCTGGTGGTGCCCTTGATCATTATTCTTTCTTCTTATGGTACTATTGCTAAGGTTGTGCTGAGGATTAAGTCAACCACAGGGCAGAAGAAAGCACTTGGCACTTGCACTTCTCACCTTTTTTGTGGTATCTCTCTTTTATGGCACTGTCACTGGTGTTTACCTTCAACCCAAGAATAGCTATGCTCATGGACAAGGCAAGTTTCTTACCCTTTTCTACACTGTAGTAACTCCAACTCTTAATCCCCTCATCTACACTTTAAGGAACAAGGAAGTAAAGGAAGCACTAATAAGATTAGGGAGGAGAACCTAGGGTTCTCAGAATAACCTGGTACTTTACCTGAGAACAGAGAATAACTTCGTCACAAAAAGCTGGAGATATATACCTCCTAACCTAGAGTGGAATAGAAAGAGCAGCATTTCGTTCAAGTTGAGATTTTAGATCCATTCATCAATCATTAAATATGCCCTTAATTTTTTTTATAATGCAGTTTAGATGCAATATGTTATAGAAATTAATATATTTAATAGTTATAATCTTGAAAAGCACATAATACAATTGAATGGAGAGTGGGACAAAAGAAATACAATACCTGAAAATACCAAGTAGTATATTTCATACCTTTCCATATTTTTCTATTTTTTGTTTTATTTTCCTCCAAGTTCAACCAACGCTTTTATTCAAAAGTCTAGTTCCAACAAGTTTTCTGGTTTAGAGACAGAAACTTCTTAGATAACTCATACGTCTGGTACTGAGTTACTGCAGTCTGGTAGGTCTTGGTTCTCAGTTGCTTCTGTCTCCCTGCCTCAGTATGACCATTGTTGATGTGTAATATGCCTAGCACTACCCAATGCAAAGTATTTGCCAAGCAAAATTCCACACTTACTGCTTTTTGGTGCTGCTACTCTGATAAAAGTCTGTGTCCAAGTTTCTTTGTTTGAGCCTTGATACTCTGGGATCCCCAATTATAGGAATGGGCTTTGCTTTTTTCTTCATTCTGAGTTTCTATTGCAGTGAAATAAATTGCTGTCTTTATCAGATCCAATTCTTACTCACTTATCTTATAGATATGCATCAATTTCCCATTATATACCTATTATGTACTAGATGCTAGGTATATAAAACATAAAATCTTAAACATCATGAACTTGTGACTATATCATTTCTTCTTGCTCTGAGATTCTTTCAAGGTCTTGTAATATTGGATTTCTCTCATTACACAATCCACTTGTTTATTCTTTACTCTCAGCCACTATTTCTCCTTTTATCCATTTATATCCAAGTCTTTCCACCTTTGGGAGGAACATTAGGTTCAGAAACTGCAATGGTTCAGATTACAGGCAACAACACTAGTCTAGTAAGTGCTTCCCCCTCAGTTCACTCCCATTTAAATAGAATTAGATTACATAGGTACAGAACCAATGGGCTATCCTGAATACTAAGCAATACAGCTGCATTTACTCTTTACCCCAATTTGCCAGATGAGATGAGGCCACAGTTTGCTCCATAAGGCTCTTATGAATTGTAACATGTAGGTTTAAAAGTATAGTGACAATTTCTTTCTTAGGAGTCATCCCTGTTTCTAGTACTTGCAATTGTAGCCACAGTCCCGCAACCATTGCATTAGATTAAAAAAAAAGAAAAGAAAAAGAAAAAGAAAGTTAAAGTGATGTGAAAAAGAAAGAAAGAAAGAAAGAGAGAAAGAAAAAAAGAAAGAAAATATATAATGTCATCACCCTTTTCCCTTGGGTAAGGATTGTAGCCATACCAGCATTCTTCCTCACTCTTTCTCAGATCCATGGGAAAAACAGGAATATATTAATATATTTAGTTGGAACTTGTCCTTAGTTCCCCTCATTTGAATTTGAGCACACACCAGCAAAGGCATGTAACTCAATCCTTTATGACTATATATCACCTTGTTTTAGACAACAAATGTTTCAATTGCCCATTCCAATTCTCTATCAAACTGTGTCTCCAACTAATATATTTCTCTGCCCATTGATGGATATAAAGTGTGTTCTGTGGTCTGAAGAAACGACAGAAAGGCATCCAAATTGGTGCAATATCTTCTGTTCCTATTCTTTTATAGCACTCTGAATATTTGCATCTACTACTAGGTAAACAAAGCCCACTCCAGACTTAGTACTTATGTCTGTCGAGACCTGTTTATAGCCCTCCATGATTACCAGGATCAGTTTGACCTGCCAGCTATGTTCAGGACCTACCCTGGGGAATATGCCACATTATCATCTACAGTCTCTTTTGTTGGCAAACATAACCTTTCTTCCATCACTGCTAGGAAAACAGCACACAATTTAGCCCACGGAGTGAATTTATTCTTAACCCTCCTCAATCAGAGTTTTTCCATCCACAGGTCTTAATGTCAACAAAATGATCTTAATGTCAACTGCTTTCCAAACGGATTATCCTCTATTTATCTTGGGACTGCCATCCAAACTGCTTGGAACAACAAAGTAGCTATTTGCTGGTCAATTGAGAGCTGTTTCTAGGACACTGTTGATGTGGCAATAGGTTTTGGAAGCTCCTCAGCTGGTTCCAAAGTTAGTCCCAAGGCAAAAGAGGCTTCCTGCTCATGAATATGGTGAGTGCCTTCTTGCATTCCCCTGGTAGTATGCTACTGTATAAACTGCATTCATTTGTATTATAGAACGCTTCTGTATTATAGAACCCTTCTTTATTAGGATATTTGTTCAATACCACCTAAGACATCATAGACATTTTAGGTTTCAAGATTGCTTTATGTTCCTCAGTCATGGGAGTAGTTTCAACTAATTTTCAATAGCAATTTAATAAATGTCACTCAGGTGTAAACTCTCCTCTCCGGAGATCCGGTAGTCATTTCTGGGAAGTGCTTACAGGCGTTTGGCATAAGCACCAGTCTATGTTCCATATAGGGCTATCACACAGAGAATTTGTTCATAGCAGTACTCCAGAATCTACTCTATACTGTTTGAACTCAGGCAATATTACTGGTTTTCATTTAACATTGCCTCTGTTTTATAGTAGTAGGTAGGAGAAACAGTCCAGATATAATGCCCATCACCATAACACAATCAGGTAATAGACATACCGATTTTCCCAAACTGTCACTTTAATATCATCAGTACTTACATTTTTAGTTGTAGTCTCTATTGGGACAGCATCAACAGTATTTGGTTTTATAATAACTAGGTTATTGAAGCATTCTCCAGTCAAATGAAATATCAATTTCCATACAACATTCAGATAGAGAAGACACAACATAGTCACACAAACCTGTTAAACATTCCATTTTTTATCCAAACCTCCACCTTAATCCTATCAACACCTATATTTCTATATTCTTTCAAGCTAACTGTAGCTCCTGATAGGGCTTCACTAACAAACTTTGGTGCCACAGTACATGGGATTCCTATGACACAAAGGCCCACAAACATTTTTCTGCACTCCCTGGCAATTTTACCCATTTATGAACAAAACGCTTTGGGTCCCTAGTAAAGGGTAGAATCAAGGGACCTTGCTTGACTTTTTAATCATTCTTTATTATTATTAATCTATTGCCCCCAGGCAATTTCAGATCAGATTTCTCATTGTATTCTTTGCCTTCCACCTTTTAAAATTTCTCCAAGTTGGGGATAGATAAAGCAAACTCTTTGGAACCCTTTAATGTCAGTGACCAGAAGAGGTTCCCTTTGTCCTTTCCCACCTTTCATAGTGCTTGGTTAAGATCTTTTAGTCCCGTTAATATCCATTTTATTCAACCCATTTCTTTTTTGTTTTGTTTTTAAACATATTTTTTATTTTAAAATTGTGGGGTACAGTTAAAGGTTAGGTATACAAATATGCGTTGTTCAGGCACCCTTGTAACCCATTTCTTAATAATCATCTGAAGATTTTTTTTACCCTGCTGGAACAAATCCAGTAACTCTCTTTTTCCCTTCACTCCGTCAATATTTTCTTTATTTGTCTTTTTCTTAATAACTGTTTACACACATCCACTTTCCTTTGAAGAGTCCCTTTTAGGCAGGTTATTCAGTAGAGGATAGACACTGATAGATAAATTTCTTGGTAGGTATTTTTAAAAGAGGGGAAACATTCTGATCACCCTGCAGGTTGGAATGTGAACCTACCAGTACAACTCACCCCCTCAGGTTATCAAAGGGAAAGACCAACAAAGGTTTAGAAATCAGCCCACTTTTTGATTCAGTTTTTACATAGTAGTAGCTGTAAAAATCTATCACATTTTCTATCAAAGGCAAAATACTGTTTAGGAAAAGCCCACCCCTTAACTCATCAAAGGTGGAGAGATGGTAATCTCTCAGGAACAGACACCTATACTAGCCCCCCTGAAATACTTTTTTTGTGGTTTGGCCAAAGAGCTCACAGTGTTACACTGCACCCCACCTGGCAACTCTTCCCTTTGCCTCTTCCTATTCTGTAATTAATGTAATGTTTTTCTTAGCATCTGTAAGACCCATTCCATGAGGAAAACTGAGATAACATATTCAACAAGACTTCTTGGATGGTTGCTCAATTTTATAGCAGTAAGTTTATATGGGGTGTCCATGGAAAAGGGGTCTCCTTAACCACAACATTTACCATGATCTGGGTGTATTCAGTGGGTGAGTATCTTGATTATCATAAAGCCAGTCTCAACAGACATTGCATATAAAACATATTAACTACTAGGTTGTTTCTCTTGGCATTTACAAGAGGAGAGAAACAGCCCTCTTCACAGGGTAAACAGACTTTACAGTGGTTTTTATCTAGTTCACCAGGTTGATTGTACTCTGGATCATCTGCTTTGTTTCTAGATTATATTAATATATGCCATCTGTGACAGTTCAGTAGTAAGCTGTGGGTCCTGTATCAATCCAAAGGTATTCCTCTACTCTGCATCATTTAAAACCAACAACACAGCCATTGTTTTTGTTAAGCACTGGCCATGCCATGTGTTCTTTAAGCCAGACCATATTTCCTAAGCTTTGGTCCCCTCCCCTACCTTGGGAGATGTATCTTTTCTCTCCCTCTCTAATTTACTTTTTAAATAAATTATATTTTCCAATCTAAAAACAAACAAACAAACAAAAAACAAAGATGCTGCCTCTAAATAAATTTTTCTTAGAATTCCTATTAATAAAATTTTCTCAGGAAGCTGATGATATAAATCTACAAAGGAAACAACTTCTTTACACTATACACCTGGTTTCAAAAGTTTCTTGATTTTGTCCTTTCCTCATGTTGAATATTTTCTTGACCAGAGGTCTCAGAGGTACTTTCTCTTGTCCTAGCATAATATTTCCTTTGAG